CATTTCTTCTTCACTCCAATCAGAATAGATGACCATTTATTTGGAACTAAGAAAGGAAACATGGTTCCCTAAATGTGATATAAATTTAAAACTATTTTACAATTTATTTAATGTAGAGAAGTCCAGGCAGTAGAGGATTCCAATGGGAGTGAAACATTTTTTTTTTGCCTTAATTAATAAATTCCTATAACTCAGAATTGCTTTCAGTGGGAGAGGTCTTTGTGCATAAATGGAAAGTAACCCAAGACTAAATTTGAATCCTGGAAGGCATTGAAATTGCTGGAAGAAGAAGCCTTACAGAAATCTTGCCATGCAATTCTCCTACAAAGTGCTTTGCAGCATCTGTGTGAATGAACGAGTCCAGAATCTGGCTATCTCACCAATATATTCTCTCTGTGTAGAGAGTTCCTCTAGCTAAAAACTTTCTGTAACTTTACACATATCTCACCAATATTTTCTCTCTGTGTAGAGAGTTCCTCTAGCTAAAAACTTTCTGTAACTTTACACATATCCTACTTGAAAATTAGCTTCTTCTTACGTCATCATGACTTGCTTAAGCTAGTTATGGTCAGTTTATGCAACTATTCTTCAGGATTAGGATCAGTAAGTTAGAACAACAGATATAGATTGATGAAATATTTTGCCCTAAAGTCAAACAAATTTGGACTTGAATCTTGGTTCTACCAGTATTAAATTTTTGTGGCTTAGGTATTTTATTGAGTCACTCCGAACCTCCATTTTTTCACCTATAAAATAAAGATAATAACATATATCCGTGGTTTTATTATAAGTTTGAATATAGTAATCAACCCCCATTGAAATATTAGCTCCATGAGTGAGAAGGATTTTGTCTGGTTGACTAAAGTATTCTCAGAAGCTAGAATGGTACCTGGCATATGGAAGATAATCAGTAAATATCTGTTCAGTGAATAATATGTTTTAGCACATAATCTGACAGTTATTATAATAGATAACACGCATTGTGTACTTACTAGATACCAGGTAACAATTGGAAGAAGAATTCTTATTTAACCATTTTAATACCTCTATGACACGTAGTATTATCACCCCCCTTTAAAAGTTATGAAAGTTGTGCAAAGAGAGGTTTTGGACTTGTTCGAGTTTATCCAGCTAGACAGTGATGAGAACAAGACTTAATCCATGGAGTGTGAGTGGCTTTGTCTCTAGAGCAGCATGCAGTAAAACTCTGATCTTATATTTTCAAAGAACAGACACTTAACCATCGATTTTTCCTTCTTTTGAATATATCCTAGTTTTAAAAACAGCTCACTAGTAGCAGAATTCATGTACATCTCTGAGAATCACCTGGAAGAGAGGGTGCAGAGAGTTTCTTTTCTTTTTTTTTTTTTAATTGAGGAGGGGGAAGAAAAAACTGGCTCTGAATTTATCTGTTTCCCTGTTTGTGATTTAATAAGTGTGGATTGATTTTTTAGTTATATGGTATTGATGCTTAGAACAATCTGAGATTTTTCTGTGGTGGGTGATAGTTTTAATTAATACTACCTTGTGCAGAGCCAAAAATTCCTACTTCTGATATCCTAACATCTTTGTCTTTTCCTTCCAGTTTTGTGGCTTTGGTGCCCTCTGGCTACCTTAGAAGGAACAGAGACATTCAAAGCAGCATTCACCACAGTTCTCTTTACAGAAAATTTAATGTCTGCTTGCTTCATTACTTAGAGTTAACATGATACTTGCAAGGATTTAGCTGAATGAGATTTTCCCAGATTTTATTCCAGGTTAAAGAGGCATTTATGTATTTCTTCTGTCTAAAATATGAGAACATGTTTTAATCTCTTTGAGACCATAGTAACCAGCATTTATTCTCTAAAGTTCACTTCACAATCCCCCCATATACAAGTAGTTAGTTTTCAAAATCTCATACAATCTTTCCCACCCTGAAGTGCACAATGGCACTTGAATTAAAGCAGCTCCATTTAAATGTACATATATTAATCATGGTACGTTTGATGTCATGGAATGCTTTATATAGAGATTTTTAAAAAGACAACAATGGCAATAACAACAGTAGTGATTCCTGCTAATATTTATTGTGTGTTCACTATGTACTGTGCACATTTTCATCACATTATGTATGTTGTCTTATTGAATGATTCTGGCAAATTTCTGAGCTTGATGCAATTATTATTGCATTTTAGATAGAGAAAACTGAATCATAAAGTGGTTAAATATCTTGCCAATATCATACACCAGGTAAGAATCAGAGTTGGCATATGAAGCTAGACAGTATGATTCATTTCAAAAGTCTAATAGAAGCCACACCTTTTGCATTTAGTTTCCATGCCTTCTACTCATATTTGATTTATTTTCTGGTCCAGGAACCTGCCACTGTTAAGGAGAGTAAAATGCTTTCATTTTATCAACCATTATGTCTGGGGCCAACAGCTCCAGCCTGACTCCAGGATTCTTTATCTTGAATGGTGTTCCTGGGCTGGAAGCTGCACACATCTGGATCTCCCTGCCATTCTGTTTCATGTACATCATTGCTGTTGTGGGCAATTGTGGGCTCATCTACCTCATCAGCCATGAGGAGGCTCTGCACCAGCCTATGTACTATTTCCTGGCCCTGCTCTCCTTCACTGATGTCACCTTGTGCACCACAACTGTACCCAATATGCTGTGCATATTCTGGTTCAACCTCAAGGACATTGACTTTAATGCCTGCCTGGTCCAGATGTTTTTTGTCCACATGTTGACTGCGATGGAGTCTGGGGTGCTCATGCTCATGGCCCTAGACCGCTATGTGGCCATCTGCTACCCTTTACACTATTCTGCCATCCTCACCAACCCTGTCATCGCCAAGGCTGGTCTTGCCACCTTCTTGAGGAGTGTAATGCTCATCATCCCATTCACTTTCCTCACCAAGCACCTGCCCTATTGCCGGGGAAACTTCATCCTTCACACCTACTGTGATCACATGTCTGTGGCCAAGGTATCCTGTGGCAATGTCAAAGTCAATGCTATCTATGGTCTTATGGTTGCTCTCCTGATTGGTGTATTTGACATCTGCTGTATCACTGTGTCTTATACTATGATCTTGAGGGTGGTAGTGAGTCTGTCATCAGCAGATGCTCGTCATAAAGCCTTCAGCACCTGTACATCTCATATTTGTGCCATTGTGATAACCTATATCCCTGCTTTTTTCACTTTTTTCACTCACCGTTTTGGAGGACACAATATCCCCCATCACATACACATAATTGTGGCCAATCTTTATCTGCTTCTGCCTCCTACCATGAATCCAATTGTTTATGGAATCAAGACCAAGCAGATTAGGGAAGGCGTAATCAAATTTTTACTCAGAGACAAGACAGGCTTTGCCTAAGACAAATAGATTATAAGGTAGATATATTGCTTGACGTGGAGGACAAAATAGTGAAGAAGAAATTCATAAATATGTGAATAAAATGGTTAAAAACATGAGTCACTCTAATATATAGATTTTCTGAAGTCTGTGCAAATGTATATTACAAAATTTTTNTGAATCATAAAGTGGTTAAATATCTTGCCAATATCATACACCAGGTAAGAATCAGAGTTGGCATATGAAGCTAGACAGTATGATTCATTTCAAAAGTCTAATAGAAGCCACACCTTTTGCATTTAGTTTCCATGCCTTCTACTCATATTTGATTTATTTTCTGGTCCAGGAACCTGCCACTGTTAAGGAGAGTAAAATGCTTTCATTTTATCAGCCATTATGTCTGGGGCCAACAGCTCCAGCCTGACTCCAGGATTCTTTATCTTGAATGGTGTTCCTGGGCTGGAAGCTGCACACATCTGGATCTCCCTGCCATTCTGTTTCATGTACATCATTGCTGTTGTGGGCAATTGTGGGCTCATCTACCTCATCAGCCATGAGGAGGCTCTGCACCAGCCTATGTACTATTTCCTGGCCCTGCTCTCCTTCACTGATGTCACCTTGTGCACCACAACTGTACCCAATATGCTGTGCATATTCTGGTTCAACCTCAAGGACATTGACTTTAATGCCTGCCTGGTCCAGATGTTTTTTGTCCACATGTTGACTGCGATGGAGTCTGGGGTGCTCATGCTCATGGCCCTAGACCGCTATGTGGCCATCTGCTACCCTTTACACTATTCTGCCATCCTCACCAACCCTGTCATCGCCAAGGCTGGTCTTGCCACCTTCTTGAGGAGTGTAATGCTCATCATCCCATTCACTTTCCTCACCAAGCACCTGCCCTATTGCCGGGGAAACTTCATCCTTCACACCTACTGTGATCACATGTCTGTGGCCAAGGTATCCTGTGGCAATGTCAAAGTCAATGCTATCTATGGTCTTATGGTTGCTCTCCTGATTGGTGTATTTGACATCTGCTGTATCACTGTGTCTTATACTATGATCTTGAGGGTGGTAGTGAGTCTGTCATCAGCAGATGCTCGTCATAAAGCCTTCAGCACCTGTACATCTCATATTTGTGCCATTGTGATAACCTATATCCCTGCTTTTTTCACTTTTTTCACTCACCGTTTTGGAGGACACAATATCCCCCATCACATACACATAATTGTGGCCAATCTTTATCTGCTTCTGCCTCCTACCATGAATCCAATTGTTTATGGAATCAAGACCAAGCAGATTAGGGAAGGCGTAATCAAATTTTTACTCAGAGACAAGACAGGCTTTGCCTAAGACAAATAGATTATAAGGTAGATATATTGCTTGACGTGGAGGACAAAATAGTGAAGAAGAAATTCATAAATATGTGAATAAAATGGTTAAAAAGATTATAAGGTAGATATATTGCTTGACGTGGAGGACAAAATAGTGAAGAAGAAATTCATAAAAGATGTGAACAAAATGGTTAAAATCATGAGTCACTCTAATATATAGATTTTCTGAAGTCTGTGCAAATGTATATTACAAAATTTTTCTTGTGAGCAAAGGTCTGCCAAAGTACCAAATGCAAAGTAAGGAAGTAACAGGCAAACACATTCCTTACAGGGCTTATGTTTTTCATAATGGTTTATAGACTCAAATATCCAGTCAGACCAGAAAGGTAATAAAATGAGGAATGTAGGCCTGGTGTCAATCTATGCATTATGTGTAAGAAGAGGAGGCTGTAACATCATGGAGCAGGAATGTCCTCTCCATAAAGTACAAATTATACCCGAACCAAGCACATAGTTATCATGGAGTAACATGAGCCCAGTGTTACAATATATTCTAGTATTTCTTAAGACAAGCTAGATTTAGATGTTTTATGAAATCTTGTAATTTTGATTGTTGGCTAAATGTCTTTTAAAATATGCTATAATTCATTCAAGAATGTCTAAGAGTTCTTTCTTCCAGTGTCAGTACTTCGGGACTTTCATTTAAAATAGATCAAAAAGCAGGCAGAAGCATTCAGCTACTAGTATATATCATCATTCATTCATTCATTCATTGAGACACTAATTTAGGTAGTATTATTAATCATACCTTGTATTTAACGAGATACAGGCAGAGTTGAATATGACATAGTCCCTGGTGTCAGGGTACTAAGAATCTAGAACTCTGGGTAGAAATACATGAGTAAAAACACATATAAAAGAGAAGAGATGATAAAAAATGGATGCAATTTGAAGGAAACAAAAGTTAATAGGAAAAGGTTGGAGGATACGTAATACAAATTTTGGATTCAATTTGTACCAAGGTGTAAACCCTCTGTCTTTTAATTTCTAACCACTAGGTTTGAACAGTCTACTTAATCTTTCTACATTTTGGCTACCATATTTTGTTTCAAATGTGTTATGTATCTGGCTTATTAAATTATCTAATGCAAAAACAAAAGCATGTATTATAATTTCTGATTTAATTAATTGTACCTGACATTACTTATAAGCTATTAGTTTCAATTATGACTTATTCTTAACATAATAATCTGAGGAGAAATCTTCCCAGCTTTACAGGCAGTAGAAAATCAGATTCATATATGTAAGCTTTCATAGAGTTCTCACAAACATGTCAATATCAACCAACAAGTCTTTTGGGTATTCTCTATATGCCTGGCTTTATGTTATGCATTAAGAAATATAAATGGATACAAAAACACTAGTGAGTTCCTCATCTAGTAGAGATATACAATGCAATGGAATGATTACTATAAAATGATAACAAGATAATTGCACAACAAAACTTATGAAAACCAAGAGAATATTTTCGGTATCTATCAAAGGTAGTGAGTAAAGACTTTACAGTGAAAGTAGTATATGAGGTGAATCTTGAATTATACATATGAGTAGTCTACAAAAAGGAGCAGATGGAAATTATTTGGAAAAAATTAAACAATATATGCATAATATTAAGGCTAAACAAAGAATAGCAAGTTAGTATGCTTGGAGGTAAAAAAGATGGGAGGAGGAGAAAAAGATGGGTCTAGAAAGGTAAACATAAGCCCTATCAAAAAGTGGCTTTTTTAGCAATCTTGTCATGACCCCCACCATGCCAAGCATTGCTCTTCACTTTTGAGAGATACCAAATATCTTAAAATTACCCTTAACCTTTAATCCTAAGGCAGCTTCTGCTCCTTTGGTCTCTTTCCTGTACTGCTCAGGATCACCACCATAATAACCTCTGCCTCTTAAATCCATCTTTCTCTTCTTTTCCTCTTTGTTTTCTCTTCCATAAAGAGTTTCTACTCACTTCTTCAGTACACCAACCCAGGTTCGTAGAACTCAAGTCATTCCTGTGTTGGGTAGAGATTCCACATAGTTACTTTTTTTCAAGGTTTTGACTATTTCACCACCCCCCAAAGAAATTATTTCAATATAAGAACTACATCGAGCATATTCCTTTCTAAACTGTTACAAATTTTACATATTTATTATGTTTACTGTTTATTGGATACCCTTCCCAACCTTACTCTTTAGATTATTAACCTCACTAAAACAGGAATCCTTACCGATTTTTTTAGTGAGGTGTCTCAGATACCAGGATGATTGTTTGCTGCATGTTAAGTACAATAAAATCATATCACTGGGGACCTAACCTAGACAAGGAGGGTATATTGCTGAGAAAGGAATATTTAAATTGCCACTTGAAAGTAGAGAAAGAGCCTGCTAATCAAAGAAAAATAAATATGCTAATATGATACAATTTTTAAAGCATAGTTGTAAATAATTTTTATAGCTCTCATTTTATTTCATAATATACTATAAACATTTTTTAGATTCCACATATAAGTGAGATCATACACTATTTGTCTTTCTGTCCCTGGCTTATTTCACTTAGCAAAATGTCCTCCAGATACACCCATATCATCACAAATGACAGGATTGCCTTCTTTGTTAAGGCTGAATAGTATTCCATATGGTATATGTACCATATTTTCTTTAACCATTCATCTGTCAATAAACATTTGTGTTGTTTCTACCTCTTGACTATTATAAACCGTAATCCTATAAATATGGGTGTGTAGATAACTCTTGGGGATACTGATTCAATTTCCTTTGGATATATACCCAGAAATCAGATTGCTGGATCATATGATAGTCAAATCTTTAATTTTTTGTGGAACCTCCACAATTTTTTCCATAATGGCTGGATTAATTTACATTCCCATCAACAGTGTAAAAAGATTCCTTTTTCCTTGTATCCTCACCAGGATTTGCTGTCTATTGTCCTTTAAAAAATTAAAATCAGAACCCATGCTTAGGTGAGCCCAGCAGCACAGCAGCAGCAGCACAGCACCACATAGCTAGATGCAGCCCCTCCCTACTCTTTGGTCCCAGAGGGAGAGCACCAGTCCACGGGGTCTGTCCCACCGAGTTGTGCCCAGAAGAACAGCATGGTGCTAGAAACTCATGCTATGACTACAGATTCTGGAACAGGAACCAAGATGGTTAAACATAACCACCATCACACCTACTGTCAAGCAAAGAAAATTCACCCCCACAGTAGCAACCAGGGCCACTCTACAGCCAACTTCAGTCTAAGAGAAGAAGCAAACCCTCTACCAAATGACCAAACATCAATGAAAAAATACTAAATGTACAAACAATCAAGAAGAAATGGCACCACCAAAAGAATACATTAATGCTCCAAAATCAGACTCCATGGAACAGGGAATCCTCAAAATATCTGAAAAAGAATTTTGACCAATGATCTTAAAAAACTTGAAGAAATAAAGGAAGACTAAACTAAAGAACACAATGAAACAAGAAGAAATATCCAGAACATAAAGGAGGAAAACTACAAAGAGATTAATACCTTAAAAAAGAGTGTAGCAGAACTTCTAGAAATGAAAGATTAACTCAATGAAATAAAAAACACAACTGAGAGCTTGAGCAGCAGGGTAGAGCAAGCTAAAGAAAAAATTTCAGAGCTTGAATATGGTCTTTTTCAAATAACTCAGGCAGACAAAAAAAGAAAAAAGAAATAAAATAATGAGGAAAATCTAAGAGAGACAGCAGACAACCTCAAATGCTCTAACATTCAAATTGTGGGTATTTCTGAAGGGGAGGAGAATGGAAAAGGTATTGAAAACCTACTCAAGGAAATAGTAACAGAAAGCTTCCCAGGTGTAGGGAGAGATGCACACCTTCAGATCCAGGAAACTCAAAGGTCTTCTTCCCAAGACACATTGTAGTTAAATTTGCAAAGCTCAAAGACAAAGAGATAATTCCACAAGCAGCAAGAGAAAAGCATCAGGTCATTTATAGGGAAACCCCAATCAAACTAACGGCAGACTTCTCAACCGAATCCCTACAGGCCAGAAGAAAGTGGAATGATATATTCAAAATACTAAAAGAAAAAAAATGCCAGTCAAGAATTGTTTACTCACAAGGCTCTCATTCAGAAATGAGAGAGAAATAGTCTATTTCAAAGACAAACAAAAGTTGTGGGAGTTCACCACCTTAAGAACAGCCCTGCAAGAAATTCTCAAGGGAGTCATTCATCTGGAATATGAATAATGGTGACCACTGTCACAAATACACATGAAAGAGGAAAACCCACAGTTAAAACAAAAATATCAGCAAGAAAGAGAATGAAGTTAAATCATCCCACCTTAAATTCCCAATTAACATTGAAGAAGAAAAATAAAGGGGAAATAATGATCAAAAGATATTTAAACCATCTAAACAAGAAGCAATTAAATGACAGGAATTAAGCAACACTTGTCAATAACTACTGTAAATGGGAATGGACTAAATGACTCATCCAAAAGACCCAGACTGGATGATTGGATTAAAAAGCTAACCCAAGTAAGTATATGCTGTCTTCAAGAGACCTACCTCACCCGTAGAGACACACATAGACTAAAAGTGAAGAGATGGAAAAAGATACACCATGCAAATGGAAACTAAAAACAAGCAGTAGTAGCTATTCTTATATCAGACAAAGTAGACTTAAAACCAAAAAAAACATAAAAAGAAAGACGAAGAAGGCCATTATATAATGATAAAGGGATCAATCCAGCTAGAAGCATAACAATCATAAACTTGTATGCACCCAATACCAGAGAACCCAGATATATAAAGCAAACACTCTTAGACCTAAAGAAAGAAATAGGACCTAATACATTAATAGTGGGTGATAAGAACACCCCTCTCTCAGTATGGGACATATCTTCTAGGCAACAAGTCAATGAAGAGACACAGGATTTAATCTACACCCTAGACAAACTGGACTTGGCAGATATATATGACATT